TATATAATTAATTGATTTTATTAATATTTCATATAAGAAGGAATAAACATATATTTATACATTAAAATAAAATAATTAAATAAAAACGAATAAACAATAATTGAATATTAATAAAAGTATTGCACATTAAAATTCAAATATTTAACTTATAATTGAAATGAAACATGCGTAGTTTATACTATGAATTATTTTTTCAAATAATTTTTTATATTTTTCATAATTTCATATTTGTTTCTTCACTATGAAATGTATTTATTTCTATTGTTAAAGAAAATAAATGAATGTAAAAGATCAACGAAGTATATTGAAATATATTGAATTGAATTTTCTGTGAGTTTTGTTCCACAGTATTGTATATAGTTTTTCCACTAGATGCTAACTAAATTAGTTAGATTATGGAATGGGCATTCGCTGCTGTTGCAACAGTTGTTGTTGTTGATGCAGTTGCTGCCGCTGCTGCTGCTGCGGAGCGGAAGTGCAGTTGCTGCTGCAGTAGCTTAAAAGCGATTCAGCCAATGGACACGTTGCAAGCGTTTGGCTCGTTTCGGTGGACCGATGAAGGCAGCATATCAATTAGCATTAGCATTAGCATCGAAGTGCATACACGTGTGTGTGTGTGAGCGCGTTTGTGTTCTTGTGCACTTACCGAGCACTCCGAGGCGATAATTTATGGTCACCACCAATATTTGTCCGTAGCTGGCCAGCACCGAGCCGTCATAGGGATTGCCGCTGTTCCACTCGTACGATTCGCCGTGGACAAACACCAGTACCGGATACTTGCTTGCACCGCCACCCGATGAGGAAGAAGAAGACGATGATGACGATGACGATGATGAAGAGGAGGAAGAGCTGCCAGAACTACCGCCAGAGGAGCTGCCGCTGCTGCTCGTTGAGTCCCGCGAGCCAACTGCAAAATAATTATAATAAAAGAAAAATAATTGTAGAATGTGTTTTCAATTGCTGAAATTCAGTTCAATTGTTTTTCGGTTAGTCAAAGAGCGAGAGCGGAAAAATGTATAAAATAAATGGAGCCAGACAGCTCTGTTCGTAATGATGGCTGCGTTTTATAGCCTTTCTCGACGTTCCGAGTGTTCAACTTTGATTTTGGCCAAGTTTTCAAGCTCGATAATTTGCATTTAAATGCTCAATCTGCAAGTATTTGGCATCAATTCAAGCGTTCTGCCCCATGCCTATTAATCAGCATTGACATGAATATCTGGGGGAGCCTTGGCCTGTCAAGTGTCTGTGGAGCATAGGTGAACAAGGTCCCAGAATGGATTTGCGCAAGACAAATGAGCGTCTTAGCCCCAAATAGGCAAATTACCGGAAAACAACTCTGTTTGAGTGCCGAACCGAAAAAGTCAACGCAGCTCGATCCCCGTGGGCACGTGTCGGAGCTCAGCTGAAGGACAAAATCAATGCTGGCAACCCTGTCAAAAGTGTGGAAAGGTTCACTTGATGTGTGAGCAAAAGCTGGGACTCAACTGCTCAGAGTTCGACAGCTATCTATGCGAAAAGGCTTAAGTGGTCTGGGCGTTATAATAATTTATTGTTTGCAGAGCTTAAAACAAGAATTTTTTTTGCACAAAGTATTGCAAGACTGTTTGCCAAATCTCTACAATGAGAAGCAGCTTAAAAATAAAACATATTTTTTTAATTGTTTAATAAACAATTGTAAAAGAAATTTATTAAGTATTTTTAAAGGTTGTATTCAAGTAAAGCAATACTGGCTATGGGTGAATTCTTTATTTATTTAAGTCTGTATATCATAATCCTATTATTGACTATTATCAAAAATATTATATTTATGAAACTTTGAACAGAAATACTTGAATTAAGAAATAAAAATTTCTTATACAACTCTTGATATGGTCCTCTGCCAAAAGTAAATTCTAATGAATAATATTCATATTATTTGTATTGAATATTACTTTTATATGATTATGCCAAAGAAGTAGCTTCAATATATCAGCAACAGCTATGATAAGAATAGCTAAAATTTCTATAAGGTTTCATACTCTATGCAGCTACATTTAAAATCCGTTCTACTTTCTCGTAAATTTAATGCAACTAAAAATACAAAATTGCACGCAAAATGTATTCATGCTAAACACACACACACACACATACACATTCATACATACAGAGAGGGATCAGTATCTAGTGCAGTGTTAAATCTTTGGCAGATATACATATATCCATATCGCATGTGTCTGGTCCAGTCAGCAGCAGCAGCAGCAGCAGCAGCTCGAGCCTCGCCCGAACAAAAGCCACAGCAACAAATATAACAAAAGGAACCATGAATTCTTGCTGTATATTCAGCCCATTTTTTCTATACATATATCTAGTATGAGCGCTGGAACAAAAGAACTTGCTTATCAAAGCGGAAAAAGAGTTCTCTGTGTGTGCTAGAAGTGGCAAAACGAGCACCATACTCCGCTTAGAGGCTGGCAAAAACAAGTTACTGTGTCACTGACTTTTATAAATAGCGTCAGAGGCATGACACGAGCCAGAGACAATGGAAACGACAGGCGAACTTTGCTTAGTGGTCTCTCACTCTAGCTTTCTCTCACTGTCTCTCTCTCTCTCTCTCTCTATTTACTCTTTTATATCTGTGCACTGTCAATATCTATTTAAAGTCTGCTCATCGCACAAAGTCACATTCACACCTCGCAACACGCTAATTCGATGAACTTCATTCATGAGCTGCTGCGGCTTCTGTTTCAGCGTTTTCTCTTGTTTCTTGTTGCTGTCGGCTCTAGCCAGGTATAAAGCTAAAGCCAAGTTCAAGCCACACACACACACTAACTCATCTCACTCAGATCACACACTGTCACACTCGAGCTTTTAAAAATTTAGACATTAATTGACAGTTGAAATTAAAATTGAAAATGTATCCAACAAAAGTTGGCCTTAAATTTACAAAATAAATAAATTAAAATTTAAAGACACTTCCTTGACGTTCTGCGGCGAATGTCTATTACTCAAGCAAACAGAATAAATAATAATATTGAATATTTATATTGAATTGTTATTGAATGTAAATATTCAAAACTATTTATTTACTAATTATAAGAATTATCTTTTCAATACTTTTAAATTGGTATAAAATATAAGATATAAGGAAAAGTTTGAAGCATGAATGAAAATTTTGCGGTCAGTAATTCCCCATTTACTAGTTAACATCCAAAGTCATATTTATAATTCATTTATATTCATAATTTACAAGGAATATATGACCCGCTTATATTGAAAATCATTTAAAAATGCTCCAAAAACTTTATATAAAATATAATTGAAAATTTCTTGTCATTTGCATAAGCAACAACTATAAAGTTGTTTTAACATTTCACGTACATAATCTGATGCCTTTCCACAAATGAGGCGCTAAATTCGGCTAATTTGTGAAGCTAAGCAACTGCGTGACATGCAAACAGCATTTAAAACTTGTCTTGTATGCCATTAAAAAGAAGAAGAAGAAGTCGTAGTAGTACGAAAGCAGAATGAAATAAATAAACCTAGTTCTCCAAATACCCGGGGTAGAAACTTTTCTGATGGCCTTTCAACATGGCGGGGCATGGCAGCTATGGCGACGTCTGTTCGTGTTGCACCCGCGGGTGCTGCTTAACCCGGCCAACTTTATGGCACCCACCGAAAAGTCAGCAGACGTACAAAAAGTTCCGACCATGCCCCCGTATCTTGGTCGCAAATACGACGACGACGACGACGACAACTGTCTTTTATGTTGCCTAAAAACTTGTAAAATAGTTGCGCCACGCCCCGTTTGCCGCATAATTTTGAGCAAATGTAAATATTTTGTGCAAATAAATAGAAGCAAGTTTTATGTACGTGCTGCAAGCTGCATGTAGCAAGAAAAGAGCGAGGACTTGTAGCATAACAAATGCGAAGACAAGCGCTGTAGCTGGCAAAAACTAATGCGACTTTCGGGGCTTGTTAATAACTCGAACATGTTTTAATTCACATGCCACGCCCCCAGTCCCAGTGACATGCCGGGGACCCAACTTGGCCTCCGACAGGCCTCACTTGCCCCCAATCTCAGCTGTGAATGTCGAAATCTAGGCACGTGGCATGTGGCAAACGGCATGAGGCAGAAGGCAGAAGGCAGAAAGCGGGAGGCAGGAGGCAAGTTTCTGTTGCCTCTAAGCCTGCATGCTTTTTGCGGTGCGTGCCTCCTGGGGCATGTCGTCTTCTAGCAACAGTCAACAGTTTCCATGTTGCGTCCCGCATTCGCATAAATTTAATCATATTTTGAGCCATCTACGCATCTGGCAAAAGGCGCAGCCAAATAGGCCTAACGGCACTTTTTTGATGGGATGGAAAAGTGCGTGCGTGTGTGTGAGAAAATAATTCTGGGAAAACCTAAATAAATATAAATATAAATATAAATAT